CATGCATTCATAGGCTCCTACTTAGAATTCAAATGACCGCAAGATGTGCCGATTCTACCTCCCTTTTTACTAACCCTTCGGCCTATGATGCTAAACCGCTGGGAACTGCGAGATGCATTATTTTGTTCTCAGCGCTACTGTAGCACAGAAGAAAAATATGCCATGCCTTTACGCCCGTTAAAACGATCGCAAATTCTACATTTCTAATGGTTTACAGTATGGCTGATCTATTTATCACCACGAAAAATAGAACAAGCTCAGATCTTTGTGCAACCCTCCTTGCAACATTGTAAATATAAATTCCGTCTAGCATCGCTGTGTCTGCTGCATACAAAAGGTAGGTCCCTGTCTGCAGAGGTCTTTGAACTATTGGCTTACCTTACATTTGCAGCTAACGCATTACTTTGTGGTGCACTAACGCTCTTTACGTGTAATAGTGAAGGGTAAATAATAGTGAAGATAACTGTGCAGTTATAACATACAGTTTAGGTGTGTTTACTTTTCTAATGTGGAGTAGTTAAAACTTCAAGTATACCAGCCACTGCTACTTTAAACTTGCTGCTTCCTATTCTCCACACTGTACTGCAGGTTACTCGGTACTTGCTTGCTTGCTTCTTGTAAAAGAAAAATATAATTCGATCTCGTTCAGACTTTTTCAGCTATGTAGCTGATGCCTATAGTTGCGATCTTTATTGAGTTTGGTTTGTTTGAACATGGTTTCCTTTGGTTCCATTTTGTTGTGTTGTTCTAAACGGTTTAATTGATGTTGATACTTCCTTGTATAGAGTGTTACTCGGTAACTGCAAAGGGCCTTATAAATCTGTGTTAGGCCACTGCACGGGGCTTCTGGCACTTCCTGCTGTTTGACTTTCATCCTTGAGGTCTTAATCCTACCTATGCACAGCAGTCCTAGATGGGGAGCATTGACAACCACCACTCATTTTGGTGTTATGTATATGATGCTCTTACATTAATAACTAAGGGGGTGGGGGAGGTTAAAGCAAACAAATAGCAGGTGCCTCAGTTTAGAGGTGAAGAATTTGCACCCCCCATATGGAAGGTCTCCGCATATGGAGTAATACGCCTAAAGGCAGTGCAAAAGGGACCTTTACTACATATGGGGAGAGGGATTTTTTTTTTCATGTTTTGTTTTGTTCCCAGACTGTAGTATTAAAAATGATGTAAATGATTTGGTACTTTGTTTATAAGGCTGGGTTAGGGTGAAAAAATAAGCTGACAAAACAGTATGCTCCTCAAGAGCACCAAGGGGTAAGAATATGCTACAATTAAAATAAGTACATTTTAGCCATTAAAAGTATCTAAAACTATGAAATCTAATAAGGTTCTCAGGTGTAAACTTTAAGGGTGTGTAGTGTAGTATTCATGATCTTTTCCCTAGAATGTTGAATATTGAATTAAGAATCGACATCATCGCACTCAGGACAACCCCATAAGCACTCCGTCCCAGTCGTCAGCAGCAAGCGAAGAGTTAAAATTCAGATGGTATTAGTAACTGTCTGATTGTATATCCGTCTCGCCTTTCCCCTGGGCGTCGAGCGTGGGCCAGACCCCCTTGTAACTCCTCGCAGTGCCATTCTCCTCAGACCGTAATCATCTAACTGGCCAGTCTATCTGCCTGCTCATTTCCCAATACACCTGCATCCTGGAGAAAATATCCAAAGGATGCTAACTACTCGGGACCTTTGAAATGATGCTTGCCACTTTGCATGGAGCATGCCTGTCTTCAACTTTCTCAACATGCTCTGTAAGTCAGTTACAATGACAGCCTGTATGTACAGCTGATTCCCAAGCCAGCGGAAAGCAGTAGTGACTGCCTCCACCTCCATTCCCAAATTAGATGTTGTGGTATTATATACCAGGCTTTGTTGCACCAAGTGACGTCCATTTGCCTTCACTATAATGCCCAGACGGAGACACAACAGAAAACCCTGGCTCTTGCTATGCTTGATGAGAAGTATCCAAACACCACTTAGACTCAGGTTTTCACCGACGGCTCTGCTACAGATGCAGTCAGAAGGGGGCGGGGGGGGGGGGGGGGTGGAATATACATTAAACCCCCTAGCAGTAGAGCAGAAACTCTCTCTCTACCAGCAGGTGACATCTGCACTAACTTCAGAGCTGAACCAACTGCCCTCCTTTCTGCAGTCCAACATCTCATCACTCAAGAACACAGAGGGCATAAAATTGTTACACTTAGTGACTCATTGTCTGTTCTCCAAGCACTATCACGCAAAAAACAAGGCAAACTAATTGCAGATCTAAGGACCAACATTGGCTCACTCTCCAAGGAAGCAGAACTGGTCTTGCAGTGGATACCAGCCCACTGTGGTATTCAAGGAAATGAGAGAGCAGATGAGTTGGCAAAAGCTGTGAGTAATCTTCCACAACCTCGTCCACCACACAGCTACAAGGAAACCAAAACAGCGCTAAAGCAGTCTTTCAAGCGGGAGTGGAGAAGGCAGAATGGAGATTACAGACCAGAGAGTGACAGCATAAACAAACTCAACAGGAAAGAGCAAACATCAGTTTTTAGACTTTGGACTGGACACTGTGGTCTTTGAGCACACCTGTACAGGATAGGCATAGAAGAATCTGCTGCCTGTGATTGTGGAGCAGAAAGACAGACCCCTGAGCACATACTGCAGTACTGCCCTTACCTCTCCCAGCAAAGACTGTGGATCTGGCCCAGGGGATCCACATTGCGAGAGAAGCTATGGGGAACAGGTGGCGACCTTAAACGCACAATCCTATTTGTGACCCAGACGGGACTCAGTGTTTAGCTTGTTGAATGCAGAAGAAGAAGAAGAAACTATGAACCTCCATGCACTTCGTCTCCCCTCAACACAGAGCCATCGGTGTATACAATCACATCACCTGGGCAGGAATTGTCATGAATCATTTGTTGAACTTCTGATTCTGCAGCACCAGCTTTTCCCTAGATGTTTATAAACTTGACAGTTGTAGTTTTTTTTCTTTTTTGGGCCGCCAGGACGGCTGGGGCAACCTAAAACAACTGGGCTGTCCCAGTGAAATCTGTAGGTATGGTCACCCTAGGCTGCGGTCAACCCACTAGCAATACAGTTTGTGTGTGTGGGTACGGGGAGAAAGGGTGTTTGATGGAAATATGCTAGTAACAATTAGCAGTCAGTCAGGCTATCAAAGTTCCAGCTTCATCGCACAAATGGGTCGCCTCCATAATTGCCATATCACTAGTAATATATGTTATTTATGTGGCCATAACTAACAAAAAGTCATGTTATTTTCTTTTGTATATCCACATTACCAGTGTAATGACATATAAGTAAAGGCATATAGGGCTAGACTTGTATTTTATAGACCACCTCGGTAGTGATGTGGTCAACATCTCACCTGCTGCCTTTACTTGACAGGACAACACCTGGTACCCACTCAAAGCTGGGTCGATCGAGGAGCCAAAGTCATTTAAAAAAACAAAAGTCCAGCTCCATCAGGACTCTTTTATTCCAAAGAACGAGCATTTAACCGCTACACCATGGCGGGTGTCACATCATCAGAATTAATATTTTTTTCTGGTTGCTTCTGAGGTCCATGAGCCCAGTTAGAGAGCAATCCAAAGTGAATACAGGACAGCTGAAACCCTATTCACCAGCCATGGCCTGACCTCAGATAACGAGAGGTTCTGGCAGATGCTCGAGGCTCAGAGGAAGGCAAGACGGACGTTTAATCAGAATGCTACTGACACCATTAGTATCGGAACTCTTCGCTGGCTGCTGAAGATGGGGATGAAGCGATTATGGGAATGCCCCGAGTGCTGTGATGTCGGCTCTTGAATCAAATCAATCAATCAATCTGATTTCTTGTTTATTGTCCACATGTTTATTTCAACTCATTTAGCCTGGAGAGAATGATGCACCTGGGTGACTAGAGGGTATGGTAGGCTCACTACACTCAGAGACAAGGCAAGACAGACATATAACCAAACTACAACTAGTGCCATTAGTATTGGAACTGCTGAAGATAGGAATGGAGAGCCTATGGAAATGCTTTCAGTACTGTGATGTCAATTTTTGACTTAATTCAACACGTTTAGGAAATCAAGATTATTGACTTAAGGGAATTGTTTAACAAAAACTCTGTGCCAAAAGTTAAAAAAGAAGAATATGCTAACTTGGAACAGGTGTCATCAGCCATTTCATATTGAAGAATACACCAAGGAGAAGATCTGAGCACTTATGGACGGAATGGCTTGATGTGCAGTAAGGATGCTCTGGTGACCAACTAACAGTTGTTACAGACAGAAGAACTTACAGTAAAACTGTCTGGTTAATGAAAGAATTAAGCTAGCTGAGTTATTTTCTATTTCTGATCATCTTGCATAGAGTATGTCCGTTGACCTTTCACTTCTACAGAAAAATATGCAGGAAAAAACCCCATGTGTTCTTTAAACAGACAATAAAAACTATACTAAAATCAATAGGTCAGAAAATAACATTTGTGCACATGCATCAAGCAAATTCATAAAGCACACACTATGAGAGAGAGAGAGAGAGAGAGAGAGAGAGAGAGAGAGAGAGAGAGAGAGAGAGAGAGAGAGAGAGAGAGAGAGAGAGAGAGAGAGAGAGAGAGAGGAGAGGGGGGGGGGGGGGAAGGAGGGCATTGAAAGACTTTCATGTGATCAATTTGTATAAATGAAAAATAATTCATCGATCAATTGGGTGCCATATTCACAGTGAAGTTTGATCTCTAAGATGCCCAGTTTCTCATCTCTCTGAGACTGTTATTTGTCTGTCTCTTGAGGTTATCCCCCACTTGAATCACTGTCTACCTCTTGCCCTCAACCTTTCCCTCAAGAACAACATTATATCTTTCAATGTTTGCTGAAATATGCCAAGAGTCTCTCTCTTTTTTTAAATGTTCACTATGCAGCTACGTCAGTTATAATAACCTCACATAACTTGTCTCTTTCTGTTGTTTCCAGGAACAACTGAGTGCTTACAACAATGGCGGCAGGCCATCTGGCTTTGCTGTGCCTAGGCCTATGTCTCCTAATGACAGATGTGCTGTCACAGAGAAGGTGCAGTGTTCCTGTGTGGCAGCCTGAACTGGGTAGCAACCCCATCACTTCCAACAGAGGAAAAGTCCTGCTTGTTGCTCTGCTCAGAGGATACTGCTCTTACTGTGTTGGACAGGCACGCAGGTAATTTTAACTCTTCAAGTCTCCATGGTTAAGAGGTCAAGGTTTTTGTCTTGCAGTCTGAAGGTCGTGGGTTCATTTCAAGGTGGCACAGTTTAGTTAACGAGAGCAATTTTTACGGAGATTCCTGGGGATAGTTGCGGAGCTACAGAGGTCGTGCTCTGTGTGACACTCTCATCAGGCAGCTAGCTGTTCTGCGGAGAAAGATTGAGCTAGATAGGATAAAACCTGATGCAGTGAGATTGATCTCACCTTTATCTTCACCTTTATTTTAACTCTTCAAATATGTGAAAATTTTATACCAGGTTATTTAATATTTTAAATTAAATTTGTTGTGGCCATCTTCATAATGTACATTGGCTGCAGTAGATACATTTTCTGTTTTAGGGAAAAATTCTTCTATGTTATAACTCTTGTACTGCTGTCTCAAAGCCTCATAAAGGGCTTTTAGATGATGATAACCGAAAGCAAAACAGTGTGTTTTGCTGTCTTTTAAAGATTAACTGTAAATTTTCCAAGACAATTTTGGCATTAAAATTCTAATTTTGGTGATATTTCATTTATAACCAGAACTAAGTAAAACAAGAAGTTCAGTAGAAATTGTCCTGGCATGACATATCACAAAAAATATATGCGTTATAAACAGTGTGCAATGTAGCAACAACGTGTAGACATAATTAATATGATAATGAGCTAAAAATAGTGCTTATTATCAAATGCAGGGTCATACTAGATAAGCATTTAGCTAGAGCCTGGCATTGGTACTTAGCATCAGTATCTAGTATCTGTTTTATTTTTATCAGCAGCATGTAGAGGCAGGGTCCCTAATAATACATTTTTATTTTTGTGGCTTGACTTCAGAAATGTGACTTGTTGGGTCACTGTGATGTCAAGCAGTTAGAGAACTCACAGATTAAATTTTTTGTTAACTTACTTACTTAGTTAGTAGTTTGTCTTCTATCTTGTAGTATAGAGGTTTGCCAGAGAGATCACCGATCACCAGACTTCTCTATCAGCAGTTTTCTTTCTGGCTTGTTCCATTCCTGTCAGTCGGGGACTGTCAGATGTTGTTTTCTCAGTGGACCCTAGGTCGCCCTGCAGGTCTGGTTCCCTGGTTCTTAGCCTCCTATGCCTGCCATGGTGGCTGATTTTCTCCTATTCTGCATACATGTGCAAACCTTCGTAACTGACTGATCCACTTGTAGAGTTTGTAGGCCTGGGTTTCAAGATCTTGAAATATTGTTTGTTGCGAACTTTGTCCCTTCTTGTCACCTGGATGACCTTTCTCAGATATCTTATTTCTGAGGCTTGAAGCTGGCTTCTGTGAGTTGTTGTCAGTGCCCATGACCCACACCCAAAGACCAGGATTGTAACATAGGTAGAGTGATAAACAGCCATTTTTGTCCTCTTGCCAGTTTCTCTTTTGCTTAGAAAGCCTTTATTTATGGCCTGGATAAGTCTCCGAGCCGTTGCCTTTCACTTAGCCATCTCCGTCTGAATGCCTCCATTTCGGTCTAATACAACTCCAGGAAATTTGAACTGGTTGACCTGCTCCAATGCATACTATCCCATCATGATCTGGTATTTCTTCTCCTCTCTTGAGATCACCATGGTTTTAGTTTTCAAGCTGAATTTTATTTTAAATGGTTATGAATCACCATATCACATGACTAGCAGCACATGGGATCACAGTTATTTGCTCATTCCAATTATCGTGATGTAAGTTACAACACTTCTTACAGGCAGTGTCATGTTGCACTGGTGATCGTGTCTGTCCAGCATCTTTCTGTCTCATGTACTGTGAATCATTTCTGATGCAGATATTTTACTGTGCCATGATGACAAACTAACATTTCTTCTCTTGATGTTTCTCTGCCCATCTTTCCTTTCAGTTTTTACATGCTCTAGTTTTCCCCATCTCATAAAGTTTTGAATAATGTCGATTTTTCTCAGTAAGAAAGAACTACAGTGATTGTTGGATATGGTGCTGGTAGAAAGTGATAAAATGGGCTTCAGTTTGACTAATGGGGAGACAGAAGTAATAGTAATATCAAAGAAAAGAATAGTGCTTGAATTTATAATAAAAGTCAAAGGCGTTATTTTAGATGAAGTACAGATATTTAAGTATCTGAGCACATGGGTAATATCACTGAGATAAAGAAAAGAAACTGCCTTTTGTAAAATAAAGAAAATTTTTTCCTTAAATCCATATAACTGGAGGTTGGAAAAAGAATTATTGCATGTTATACAGAGCCAGTTTTAACATATGGCTTTGAGTCCTGGACAATTATTAAACAAGACAAACAATTTTTCGAGGCCTCAAAGATGTGATTTTATGAAAGAATCCATAGAATTCCTTGAACAGCTAAAAAGAGCAGTCCATATGTTTTGTTGAAGGAAAGGGCTTGAAGACAACTTATCACAAACATCAGCAAACAGTCATCATTGTTTTAAATCATGTTATGAGAGGAAGGAAACTGGAATATGTTGTGACCACTGGAAAGATATGTGGAAAACATTTAAGAGGAAAACAACGAGAAGATTTTTGACAATCTTTTGTCATTGTATGGAGGGGTGTCAGCACATGAATGGATACATAGTGTTTAAGATGGCAGACTGTGGAGAGGCGTGATAGCCCACACCAGTCGGCAAAGCTCCAACAACATGGATTTGTTGCATAAAATTTTCTTCAGTTTAAAAAATGCAGTTTAGCCTTCCTATTAATATTTTAGTTACCTTACATTACCACACATTTTAGCTAAGTAACATTAAAATGTGCACTGTCCATATATTTTAGTTATGTTACATTAAAATGTGCACTGTCCATATATTTTAGTTATGTTACATTCAAATGTGCACTGTCCATATATTTTAGTTATGTTACATTAAAATGTGCACTGTCCATATATTTTAGTTATGCTACATTAAAAAGTGCACTGTCCATATATTTTAGTTATGTTACATTAAAATGTGCACTGTCCATATATTTTAGTTATGTTACATTAAAATGAGCACTGTCCATATATTTTAGCTACGCTACATTAAAAAGTGCACTGTCCATAAATTTTAGTTATGTTACATTAAAATGTGCACTGTCCATATATTTTAGTTGTGTTACATTAAAATGGGCACCATATATTTTAGTTACTTGACATTAAAATGTGCACTTTTCATATATTTTTGTTACTTGACATTTAAATGTGCACTGTAAATATATTTTTGTTACTTGACATTAAAATGTGCACTGCCCATATATTTTAGTTGTATTACATTAAAGTGTGCACTGTCCACATATTTGACCTATGTAGCATTACAATTTGATTGTCCATATATTAGTTACTTGACATAAAAATGTGCATCTTTGTATCTTGCAGACTTGAATCTCTCAAGAACAACCTAACATCGCAAGGTTTCCCAGATATTGCTATGTTGATAGTAAATGGTGGTGAGGGAATGTCGCGGCGCAACGTACAGAATTTAATCGATGCCAGCAGTATTCCAGTCCTCCAGGACAATGAGAACCATGCATTGTTCAGGAATGTATTCAGCGGAAACAAGGATGACTTTGTTGTGTATGACAGGTGAGATTTGTAGTTAGGAGAATATTCCAAATAGTTACTGACTAACGGTTTTTATCTTCTGCACAGGCACCAGAAGGTTTATCCCCTCTGTGGCTTGAAAGTTTCTATTCCTGCTGTTTTAGGCATTTTACCATTGCATGTCATTAGAGTCGACTAAATGGGATGCTTTTTATGAAGTCAGAGTGCATCTGCCTGAGATGTAATGAACCGACCATCTACATAGAATTGAATCATATCTGTAAAATGGATGTGCACGCAACACTCAGGTTCTGGAACAGTACTATTGTCCAGAAGTGGATGAACAACCAGAACTTTCTGCTGGTGTTTATAGCCAGTGAAAGAACAGACAGATCTCATTTAAAATCATTTGATGTAGTTAACCTAACCTGCACTTGGGCAAACACTCATATACTGATAATTTCCTGAAATACTCAATCATTTCAGTTAAAACTGTGAGTCTACACATACATACTACAACTTGTGAGTACTGAGTTAAGAGGTGTAGTGTGATCAACATAAGTGTCAGCTATTTGGGTACACATACTGATAAATAAACCATAATCCTCTTGTGGGAACTATTGGATGCAAATACAGTTATTCAATCAGTGTGTCTCAGTCCACCTTTCCATCTTCTCCCCAAGGGTAACCATAATGCATTTCAAGTATAAACACTAAGTTACAGTGCAACCAAACTCATTTGGGATCTCAATGATCATTTGAGTTAGTCTGATTTTAAAATCACAACAGTGATGCCAGGTTTAAAATCAATTTACAACCACAACAGTGATTCTGTTTATAACTTGAAATGGATGTTCTAGAACCACATATGGAAGCTTGGTCCTAGTAACTTTAACAGGTGCCCTACTTCTCTGTTTATTTATCTGCACATCAAGAAATGTGCTCGTGGGAGATTTCACTTTGAATTATAAGAATTACAACAATTTCAAACACTTGCATATGCCTCATGAATAAACAAAATGACTAAAAAAAAAAAGCAATTACATAATAATACATATATTATAAATGAGCATAAGTGATAGGAAACATAGGTGTAAGCAGTAATAGCTAGCTCCCACATGGAACCACACTTTCTCCTAGAGACTCCACAGGCAGAATAATTAGCATGAATGGTAGAAGAATAACTATAGCAACAGTAAGCAGATTAAGTTAGCTTGTGATACTTCACTTACCCCTGGCAGGGATTCACTGTGTCAAATCTAAGTTTGTCATAGACCAGAGACACAGCTTTTGGCATGAACAGTTTATCTACGTCCAGCTCTCATCTTACTTGATTGAGAAAAGGATTCAAATCTTTATGGGAACTTAACCGCCGGCAAATATTTCTGTAAAGCAAGCTCTTCTGTGCACTTTGTACCTGTGGTCTATCACAATATTCAGACATTATTTAAGAACTCAAACTGTGACTCTACAAGAGCATTATTTTGCCAATTCTTCTTTATGGAGCAAAATTCTGGAGAATGAGCAAAAAGGATGTACACAAGCTATCCACCTTCCACCACACATGTCTACGTAGAATTATCAAAATTTTCTGGCCAAATACAATCTCAAACACTAAACAATTTCAAGTCACAAACCAAGAAAACTCTAGACAGTATGATAACCAAGAGAAGATGGAAATGGCTTGGCCATGTTATGAGAATGAATCCTGATATATCTGCCAAAACAGCTCTCACATGGATACCAGGGGGAAAGAGAAAAAAAAGGAGCGTCCAAAAAACAACATGGAGACAAACGATGGAGAGTGACCTGAATGCGGCATCTCTGACATGGAAAACTGCACTGAAGATTGCACAGGACAGAAAGCATGGAGATACCTCTCTGAAGCCTCATGTGACACTAGGCATAAAGAGAATTGATGATGATGATGATTTAATAAATCTTAATAGCACTACATTGTCACTATCTATTAAATTCCTGCAGAGATATTGTCTCAAGGCACCTTATGACACACTGAAATAAGCTGAGCAATTAAAGATATTATCATCAGCAATCATTACTGCATTTGTACCATTGCCAAGTCTACAGAAAGGTTTTTCTTAGTATTAAAAAAAAAAAATTGACCACATTCAACCTACTGCTATCAGCAAAGCAGCCAGCAGCAGTTGGTTATATTTGTGGTCTAGTTTATTTCTGCAAATTGTGTTGGCTGAAATTAGGGGTATTTGTGCCAGGTTTGATAGCTTTGTATCCGTAACCAGATGGATTGTCTATTCCTGTATGCCTAGGTCCTATTGTGTTCTTGTATTCCTTGTCATGCAGATGGTTTTACATTCTGTATATTGGGGGTTGAGTGGAATAAATGTTGCTTATTAAGAAGTTCTCAAGCCATGCACAGGCTAAGATTTGTTATGATACCTCTGATAGATAAACACCCTGGGCCTTAGATAGTAGAACACTCATCATATGATATGTGAAGAGGAATACCAACCTCCCAGACATATATTCCTAAAAATACAACATAAGATAAACCACCCCAGCCTTGTGGTTCAGCTCTTTATATATTTTTAAATTATTTTATATCTGAAACAAAATATAAATACATCTATCAAGAGATATTAAGATGCGTATGAGCTATAATAATTCTGAAGTGTAACGTGAACTTGATGTGTTCAAAAATTAACATAACGGCAATTACATCACATATTTGTCTGCCCTGAAAACCTCTTGCAATAATCCAAAATTCAGGACTCTAATGACTTGGTCACACTTGAAGACATGAAAGAGTACTGGAGTGTACAGTGATAAGAACAAGAGGAAGGAATTTACCATAGACAACATTCATAAAACAGGCTTGCAAGGATCTGTCAATTCAAATTCATATTTGATAAAATTATCAGCACAAGCCAGACTCAGAAAAGAATGAACAGAAAGCACACATCCAGCCCAAAGCTGAAATACTTCCTGATGTTGAAAAGAAACAACAAGAGTAAGCGGTACTTAGCTACTAAAAAAAAAAGGAAGGACAAAATCATGTTTTGGGTCTACAGAACGCAGTAAACAGAGGAAGCCTTTACATTTTTTGTCAACTGATATCAAAAAGAAACAGACCTAACAGAAAATGATGTTGAAGTAACTATAGTACATCAATAAATACGAGTGTTATGTAGTCAGTGTGGCTTAGGCGTTGCGAACGAGCTTCGTAATGCTGGTATGCCAGGTTGCCGGATTTGATCCCAGCTGTAGGTGATTTGGCAGCAGACTGTCTTGCGTTGGTTTTGACAGGGGTATCAACAGCTGACCGCTCTGAAAGCAATGGCAAAATTTACTAAACGTGAAAGTTGCCCAGAAAAACCACGACGCTAAAAAATTGCAATTGCATTGTGAACATATGGGAAAAAAATCATAAAGGACATGACAAAATAAAATAAAATATTAGGTAATTATCTGGAAAACTAATGTATACTTTGTATGTTTTCAATTTTATCATATAGTCACAGCTATTACTCCAGTTCATCTCATTTCATTCGTATTTCTTTAATACTGGACCCTAAATATTTTTTCAGATGTGGTCAGCGAGTAGCTTATATTCCTCATCCCTATAGCTACTTGGGTAACAATGTTACAGAGCGTGTTCTGAAGGCTGTACATAATGGACGACACACTTGCCGCTGCCGATTAGACCGGGCAAGAAATAACCCTCATGATGTTATGTATGGAGACCAACCAGATCAGCCTACACACATCATACACGATAACACTCTTGGCTTGGACTGCCCGCCAACTGATAGGTGGTGCAGAAGGTACCTTAGGAATTACAGAAGGAATCGTCTGGAGCCTTCAACAGACTCACTTCAGAACCCAGTATCAAACAGAACAAGACCACGTCATCAGGAACATGGAGATGAACAGAGTCAGTCTCCAAGAGGCCATAATAGACATAATCATCGTTCACGTAATAATCATAATCATCACAATAATCAGAGTCAGTCTAGGGTTAGGGTCAATGGATCAGTATGAGACTGTACCAATGTGAGTCTGACACCCATAGTCTCAGTACCCACTCACCGATGCCGTTGTCCCAGGTCAGATATTGGTGATGAGTGCAAATGCACGCGGCCAATATATGGCCAGGTAAATGATATTTTGAGCTGGCACTGTGGTTGTCATAATCCCAGTTTTGAGACACGCTCGCAGTGTGATCATTGTCATGTCTGTGATAACAGGCCCATTTGTCGTGAGATCACACAACTTGCGTCTTGACAGGAGCACTGTCGCTGTCAGCAAGCACAAGCTAACAGTGGTTCCTCACAAGGGGGTGCCGTGACCTGACAGTGACAAAACGCTGATGGTTCAGTGTCAGACTGACAAGCGGCTAACAGTGTGTGACAGAATGGTGAGTCTCAAAACTGACAGTGACAGAATTCTGCTGGTGAGGTTTTGACGTCCTGACAGTGAAACAACGCCAGCTCTGTCACCACAGACTGACAGACTCAAGGATCAAACAGACTTTGACAGGCTAGACAGTCTAGAACCTGACAGTGAGCCGACACCACCAACACAGTCTCCACATTTTGACAGTGACAGAATGATAACAGCCTGGGAATCGTATGACAGGCTCAGCTGTCGACTGTTTAACCAGCCGATTTTGTTAACTACAGGCAGTGAGGCTGTCTAAATCACGGAGACTGTTAATGACACAACATATATAAGTTTAAAATTGACAGTGACTGAAATCATTTTCTCTTTCACAATATAATTAACTATTAGAAGACTAGTAGTAAAATTAGTTATAAAGTTAATTAAGTATAACATCTGAAATTGTTTGTTCATTTGAGAAGAGTGGCATGTTATCAGCTACTGCAATAGGCATATTCATGGCATTGTGATGCTGGGGTGTCTGTGGATTACCTACCTCCCCAGGCAGCAGCTAGAAATGCCCTGTACCAGTTCTAAAGGAAATAGGGTTGTGTTTCTGCCTTCCCCTTCAACACGTAGCTAAGTTGGGGCTCACAGTGTGCTCATTCCCCGCCACCAGATTGCCTACTGGTTTCGCTGAGCTTTTCATGACTCTAAGCATGAGTAGTTGGGGCAACTAGATCGTCACGTCCTGAGTTCCTGTGCCTTCATGATAGTTTCCAGTTTTCAGTGGGGTTAGCATACTTGTTTCCATTCCTAAGACTGTTCAGCACACCTCCGGCTCCTTTCCTCCTACAGGGGGCAGTATGGTGTGGTGCACCGGGTTTATTATCGAGGTTTGCTCCTCTAGATCCATTGTGTTTTGCCTGGGGATTCGCACCCCCAGTTACCAGGACTACCTCAGGGAGGCTGTGACTCTTCGTCACGCACAGTGTCTTGATGTAAGAGAGGTTTTGCTGGGTCAAGAGGCTGACACCGCAATGGACGCTCCTTTCGTGAATAGATATTCACTAGACTTAGGGTGAAGTAAAAGGGGGTTGGGGGAACCACTACCCACAACACCAACACTTCTTACCCCCTGCCTCTGGAAGCTCAGTCCCGCTGCAACAGGCCAAGATCAATATTCAGAACATTATGGTCTGAGGAGAATGGTGCTGCAGGGAGTCACCAGGGAATCTGCCTGACTCTCGCTCACTACTCAAGGTTAAGGTCAGACTGATGTACAATCAGACAGTTACTGATACCATTGGAACTGGAACTCTTTGCTTGATGCTGAAGATGTGAATGGAGCGCTTATGGGAGTGTCCAGAGTGCTTTTATGTTGATTCTTAATTCAATATTTCACATGCCAAGTTAAAGAAATAGGACCATATAGGAAGATCAAACACAAGATGGAAAAATGGCATCAATGAACAGTTTTAGGGAAATGAAGAACAGCTCCTATAACACATTAGAAAGAACAAATAAAAGCCTTATAAATCCCCCCCCCCCCCCCTCTCTCCTAATGTTCACAAAGGTTACTGGAGGATGAAAAGATAAAGGGGATGAAAATTTAAAAACTAATTTTTAACAACTGATTTGCTTCTACCTTAAGACTACAATTACAATTGGATAGGTTGTATCTACCGTATAGATTCCATTTATTAATAATTCAGTTCCCCAAAGAGAGCCATACATTTTTTTTTTCTTCAAATATTTGGCTGAAGGTTAATGCCACACATTTCTCAAAATTGAATGTTGAATTAAGAATCAACATCACTGCACTCAGGACACTCCCATAAGCGCTCCTTCCCCATCTTCAGCAGCAAACAAAAAGTTCCAATTCTGATGACACCAGTAACTATCTGATTATATATCCTTCTCACCTTTCCCTTGAGTGTTAAGTGTCTGCCAGATCTCCTGGTAACTCCTTGCAGCGCCATTCTCCTCAAACCCTAATGATCTGTTTGCACTTCCGCACTGTTCACTCGCTCCCAGAGGGCCCTTACAACATCTAGCTTGTCATACTTCAGTTCACCACCAAGTAGTGCAGTATCGTCCAGTCTATCTGCCTGCTCATTTCCCAACACACCAAAATTCTCAAAATTAAGATCTTTCAAAATCTTATTACAACACACTCGTAGTACAGTACTGATCTGTTATAATAATAATAATTTCCAAAACATTTCAAGAGTGTCTTAAACATTTATTACCTTTTTATAATCAACAGTTTCAGTTTTCTTACCTGCCTAAGATTGCTGGGTACACCAGGGTAGTACTTGATATAGCCATTTCGAGAGTCCTAATTATATCTTCTTAGAATTCTCCCTGTTGAATTTGCATCCAAGATGTGACTCTTTCGTTGCATAAGTGTCAAACCTTTAGCTATTAGCCTGGAGGTGGACAGAATGTCAATGTCAAACCTTTAGCTATTGGCCTGGAGGTGGACAGAATGTCAGTGTCAAACCTTTAGCTATTGGCCTGGAGGTGGACAGAATGTCAGTGTCAAACTTTTAGCTATTGGCCTGGAGGTGGACAGAATGTCAGTTTGCCATATTAAAATGGCTTGAAAGAAAAATATACTAAATTATACATAGATGGCTAAGACAGTGACAAAGACTGTGACATCACATATTTACCATTCCTTTGGCACCATAGGGAACCAGAATAATGACAGTATCAGACTAAACCTGAAGGTGTCTGATATTTGAACTAATGCCATCTGGTTTCACCCTAGGTGCCATTGAAATGGCTATGTAAATATATATAATACAATATTGCTGTGAAAAATATACTCCTGATGAAATGTATGTATTATTCAGAAATGTTACAATAAAATTTGTTACTTTACAAATGAAAATGTAATGTTACCTTGTGCTTTTTTATGTAACTGATTTTTTTCTTGTGACCAAAAACAAAATTATGTACTTACTTTCTTACTCACAATTTACAAAAGAAGGCGTGCCATAAAATTATATGCAGTTAAGAAATATGTTACTGTGAAGGCTAAACCAGAAAACAAATTTCCAATATCAATTAAAAGGCACATATATTGCAGCTATGCTGTTAACAGGCACAGCACAACTACACGAAGGCAACAAACGATGATGAAGAAGAAGAAACATAGGAAAGTAGCGCATTGTTAATAGTTAATTATGAATCAGAATGAAAGAAAACCAGGGTAATGTTTTCACCAATTTAGAACTAATAAAAGAACTTTTAAATAATATGGGAACAGTGGACATAAATAAAAGATAATTGTGCAGAATGAAAGAAAAGCAGATTAATCTATTCAAAAATTTAGAATCAGGTAACAAGTTACCAAAAACCTATCAGTTGGCAAAATGGAAGGAAATTAAGTGGAGTTGGAAATGACTTTTGCTGAGGAAACTATATGAAATCACAATATAATTCCTTATATTTAAAATTATTTACAAGGTAAAGGCATTACTGAGGAATAAAAATTCAAAGAGACACAGACATACAAAAACAAATCATATGTCAGCTTCACATAACACAACTGCAATGAAAGAGATAGCCTTCATCAGCAGGCATCAAGAAGAAACAAACAAAAAGGAAATGATGTTGAAGTAACTACAGTACATCATGAAATATGAATACCTGCTTTTCTTTAATTATTAACAATTGCTTTTTAAAAAACAGTTAAGTTTGACAATAAACGGGAAGAGCGTTAAATAATATCAAAAAGGGGAGGAAATGATGTGGGTTAAGCTCATACACAAATACTTAAGTGATTTTGAAACAAAGAATGAACAGTTGAAACATTCCTAGAATTTATATATCCTGTTTTGATAAATGCTTAGTTCCTTTAAAAACATACTTTCAGAAGAGTCACACCTAGGAAAAAATGTGTGTGTTTTCCTCAGTTCGGAGAGTCCAATACATTTTAATGCTTATTGCTTAATGTAGTAGAAAGTTCTGGCTTTGTAGTATGCTGTTTATTTCAGACAGCCACCTATGAATATTTTGCAAGGATGAATAAATATAGAACAGGCAAAATGAATTTTGAAAATATAATGGGCAGGTGTATTAGAAACAGATAAAACAGAATACAGGTAATGATGTCCTTCTAGTTGTACACAAAATAGGCATACCTCATTGAAGGAAAATCAGGGGTTCACCAATACAAAGGTGAACATAGAACATCAATGTTTCATGAAAAATCATGAGCTGGGGAGACTGGCTAAAGACTGATCTATTTGTATGTGGTGATGAGAATGATGTTCTGCACGTAGCCTGTTATATGGTGATGATTTTTTTTAAAATGACAGTTTGCAACAAAAAATATTGCAAACTATATTTTACAACAAAAATATTATAACATTTATTTATACAATCTAAAATGTGCCTTGTTTATAACATGATGAAGTGTATCATATGTATTCTTGTACATTTTTCCTATGCTGCTGAGCCATTTCTCTTTAGTAATTATAGCTATGCTTTGTACACTCTGTGCAACACATGTGTGTAAATTGTTTTTAAAAAAAAATGTACATCTTTAACTTAGTTTTCTGTTGCTTTAATTGCTTTTGTTTCAATAAAAATAGAATGTAAATGTGTTGTTCTGTGTAATTTTGATTTATCGTACATATTATACACAG